TTGTAGATACAGACTAACAGATTTATTTGGGCATAAGCTTTCGTGCATAGCTATGCATCCGAAGAAGTGAGGTTTTAACTCACGAAAGCTTATGCCCGAATAAATCTGTTAGTCTTTAAGGTGCCACCAGACTCCTTGTTGTTTTTGTAGATACAGACTAACAGATTTATTTGGGCATAAGCTTTCGTGCATAGCTATGCATCCGAAGAAGTGAGGTTTTAACTCACGAAAGCTTATGCCCAAATAAATCTGTTAGTCTTTAAGGTGCCACCAAACTCCTTGTTGTTTTTGTAGATACAGACTAACACGGCTACCCCCTGATACTAGTCACGAACACTGACTCTTAAGCCCCCAGTCTTGTGGCGTTAAAACCCCATTTAGTTTGGTTGGGAAAAAAAGCAGCCACTACCCCCCATCCATTTCCTGGCTTAGCAAGATTTCCAGACTCAAACCCAGCTCTGAGCCAAATTTAAAAAAGGCTCATAAAACCTCCCCAGCCCCTAGGGAGACTCGCATGCAGGGAGCACCAAAGTTGGCTCAAAGAGAGAAAACAGCGACCTTCAACCCAGATACATCTACTCCTCTGCAACAACGGATCGCTCTCCTCACTACACATTAGTACGAGCCCACACCATCTACGCAGCCCTGCTCCACACAGCCCCAGTCCCAGCCCCGCCTGCAGCAGGGGCACACGCAGAGGGAGATTGAAAGAGAAGGAAAACCAGAGTCCAGGAATAGAGTTCCTTCTGGTAGTTTGCCTGGAGTTAGCGGGAGTGGGAGCAGCAGCAGCGGGCTCTCTCTGGCAGGCCAGAGGGAGGATTCGAGGACAGGACAGAGCGTGAGACGGGGCTCCTGCTCCCTACCTCGGGTAGCTGGCTCCAGGTCACCTGGGCAGGGCGATAGCTTTTCACCACAATGGTGTTGGGAGCGGGATGCTCCTCCGGAACGGAGTCCTCCTCGAGCAAGTCATCGTCTGACTCATGGTTGATAGAGTTCAGCCCTCTCTCACGGATCTCCTGATACAGCCGGGGATCTGGAGAGAGGACGCAAGCCAGGAAATTACACACGGACTCTGAGAAATCGTTTCCCTTCCACCCAGAGCCCATCTCCCACACAGCCCTTTCCACAAGGGAGGGGAGGGGAGAGACCAGGGCCTCCTGTAAGGCCCACAGGACCCCACATTCGACAGCCTCCGGAAGGCCCCCAGGAGCAGACTCTCCTCAGCTGGGGCAGGATCAATGGCCAGGCTGGGATGTGGCACAGGGGCAAGGGAGGGATGACGCACGAGTGCTGAACGTAACATGGCCAGGTCAGGGGGCCTCTCTGGCAAATCGGGAGCCTCAAGGCACTTAGCGAAAACATACAAGGGGAGAGTTTTTACAGAGGAGACATTTACAGGCCCTGCAACTGCTCTGTGCAGAGCTGGAACTGCAGGGAAATCCAGGCAGGGACACACTGCAAGGGACTGGTCCTGCTCCCAGGAAACAGGGTCAGGAGCACAAGCAGCAGCTGGGCTCTCAGTTCTTCATAAACATACTAGAGAGAGTGCCACGGAGGGAGTTAATCCTCACATCACACTCAGCAGAAAGGGCCATGTTGTGGAGTCCATTTTACAGGTGGGGAAATCAAGGCAGAGAGGGACGGTAGCTTGTCCTGGGCCAGAGGCGGTTCATGTCAAACATGGCAATAGCGCTCAGGAGTGCCTGGCTGCATGGTGTGGGCTCAGGGCATGCCTCTCTCAGAAAAGCTCACACAAGCTCAATGCAGTCTCAGACGAGATTCTGCATCAAGTAATTCAATTATTTCCAGTGCGATTCCTAGCACTCCACTGAATAAATAAAGGCAGGTTCCCTGCCCAGGCCAGCTTACAGTCTAGGTCAATGGTTAAAGGCAAGAGCAGAGGAAGGGGATGAGTTGGACAAGCATGACGACAGTCAGGTGATGCAGTCACACCGGGGCTGGTGCACACATCTTGGTGGTTACATTCCCCCCACCCCTCAAGCATGAACCTTCATGGATTGGGTCAATCCTTCGTGCTTTGAACCCAGGAGCAGCGAGCCCCATGCGCTGGGTGGGCTTGTTTGCATGGCTCATTCCCACCGGGAATGCTCAGACCAGGACCCTGGCTGTTCTCTCAGGCTGATCCAGGAGGGCACCTGCCCATGGCTGTGAGGATAGGGGGCACCTCTCAGCTGGGAGAGACTCACTAACCCTCCCTGACACCCAGCTGCGGGAGCTGGGATGAGGGTGGAGGGTGAAGCCAGCAACACCAAGGAATTTGGGAACAGCGGGAGCGAAAAAACAACTCACCATCCTTAAAGGAGCCCCCATGTCTCTGCATCCGCTTCCTCCCGAGTGTTCTCTGAAAGAGTGGCAGGAAAGACAGAGTCAATACAAGACGTGGGTGGACAGAATCGAACCTCATCCTGACAGCTCTGGAATAACAAGCCACTGCTGAGTCTGATTTCTTTAGGTCCATTTTACAGGGAGCGGGAGATGCTGTATTGACAGCCCTGGGTCTGCCCTTTATCCACAGACTAAGCCAAGTGTCTGTGCAACCTCGGCAATACACATGCTATTTCCCTGGCCCCTCCATGTCCCCAGCCTGGATCTGGAGAGGGACACCCTGGGGAGTTCAGTCTTCAGACATTCACACAAGCTGCCAACCCTGGAGTAGATTAAGTGTCCAACAGGGAGTAATCCTGCACTGACAGGGGATGCGCTAGTTGAACAAGCAAGTCGGTTCCACCCTCCACTCCTTTCCCGACAGGTCAGGAAACCGCTCTTAAGTGGTATCAACTTTTGGCCATTAGCAGCATTGGCTAAAAGTGAACAGGCAGCCTGTTAGCAGCCTCTGATGGCTTACTGACAGCGCAGCTCTCTTTTCCACCCCCTTTGTCTTCAACTGGGAAACTATAAACATGCAAGAGGAAAATCCCAGTTGGTGTCTGGATGAAACGCAAACAAACACCGAGCTCTGTAGCAAGGTTAGCTAATTAGGTTGTGTGTGCAGAGAGAAAGGGTGTTTTCTTTAAGCATCTATGTTTCTCATGGCAGAACCCTTTACTTACATAAAGTCCCATCAGGTCACAAGTGGACAGCCACAGAGGGGCATCAACGACAAGGAGAGTCAGAACAATTTTTACTATGGGAAGACACCCAGAATAGGCCTCAATTTACCTACATCACAGGCTAGAAAGAAAAACTCTGCTCTGTATCAAAAATAAGGGGCTTGATTCTCCTCTCATGCCAGGGTCTCTCCTTTGCCTTTGGCAGAGTTCCCCCCAATTCTGATCTCTGGAAATCCAGTCCAGTGAGCCTAAGCTGACTTACCCAGAATGGGAGCATAAAAAAAAAAGGTCAGAGGCCAGCTTTGACAAATACTGGGCTAAGTGACTTACTCAGGGCCACACAGCAAATCAGTGGCAGGGCTGGGGACAGAACCCAGGGGTTCTCTCAATCTTGTGGAGTTTTGTTTTGTTTTTAAATTTAGTTCCTTAAAAAAGGAAGTTACCTAACCAGCTCGTTACCTAGTCAATACCATCCTTGTCCCTCAGGAAAAACATGTGAATTCCAGTTGGTCTTGCTTGCAGTTTTGTTTGCTTTTAATAAAAAAACCACGTGAGTGACTCAGCTTTCACCTTACGTTACCGAGTTTTGGGTCAGAACAGCCTTAAAGTGATCCCAGTATTTCTTTCAGCCGGACGCAGCCGCTCTACTTCTTGTCATAGCACGCATACAAAAGATACCTGCGGTTAACCAGTGGTAGGGCCTGTTTTGTTTGTTTCTGGGATTACGCCACTCTTCTACAAACACAAGCCCCCAGCACGGTGCAAATCTGAGAACTGATCCTGTTAACACGCATGGGGTTAAGTTGGCTCACGTGAGCAGCTTCACCCATTTCTGTGAGTGGAGTCTGTCTGCACTGCCAACAGGCGTCAGACTGCAACTCACCTGTGCTGTACCACATGCTGAAATACATTTTTGTGCTTAACCACCAATGCTATACAGCAATCTAAACTCAGTCCACTCCCCACCAGCTGTTCCTTGCACATTTGTGAAAAGCACTTCAAAACAAGCAGCCCCCGCCAGCCACGAGCCTTAGATGCAATTATGAGTGAATGAAGGCGCCAGGCAGAACATGAGCGGATGTTAAACAGCTGGATCGCATCCTTCCCAGAGGATTACATCAGCTCGACACAGCCTGTTCTTGCCCCCTGACCCCCACAACCTTTCCAAGGGAGTTTAGTTGCTAAAACTTAACCTGGACTGATCTCAAACCCTCCCCCGCCCCCAACCTCACAAACCCTAATTCTGAAAGGCACAGCAGTTCTGAAGGTGTATTTCATTTAATCTCAAGCAAGTACATGTAATGACCTGGCTGCTGTGGATAGCCATAGACAGCCCATAAGACCCACCGGAAGCCTGGGAGTTAGTTTATTTATTGGGCTTTGGCCTCTCAACCCCTCCTGGCCATACCTCGGGGTCAAGCTGCAGTAATTAATGCCATCTGCAAGGAGTGGAGTTACAGAAGTTGGATCTGCTAATGGGAGAGAGGGGTGGGGCCGGAAGCATGTGGATTTGCTATGATAATTTCACATGAGAGAAAGCAAGGGGATAGAAATCAGACCCTGACTCTCTCAGCTGTGTTGGACCCGGGGTTGGACTGTGAAAGAGCACAATGTCTGGACACTGAGTTAAGGCAGCAAGAAGGGCCCTGCAGTCCTTCCAGCACACATGCTCACTGCGTACAGCTGCTCTTCAAAAGCGTGTCCAAGTCGTCAAACACACCAGCAGGGTGATCGCTAGCAACCTGCACCCAATGAAAGCAGAAGGCCACCCAGGCAGCGAGGATCAGCCGCTTTTTCCCCCAGCCAGTATTACACTGGTGACTAACCGCCAGATATGGGTGCACTAGAACCAGTCTAGGGAACAGCAGAGCTTCAAAACCTGGATTAACTGGTTTCACAACACAATTCCACACGCATTTGGAAACCAGCCATTACGGGAGGTGATTATATATGGCTTAACTAAGAGGCAGACCGAACCCACTGGCTGAGTGACCAGAGACACCACAGTGCTCAGCTGAATTGTACAGATGAGAACAAAACTCTGGTCTAAGCTTTGGCCCCAGGAATACCCAGGCAGCTGCTGCTTCAACTGATGGAGTCTGGCCAGGAGTGGTGGTAGAAGAGGTAGAGTTTGTTATCTCGAGTGTAAGCTCCTTGGCAGGAGGGACCATCTTTTTGTTCTGTGTTTGTACAGCACCTAGCACCATGAGCTCCTGCTCCATGACTAGTGCTCTTAGGAGCGAAGGTATTACAACTACTACTAACCTTTTGTTCAGGTCAGGGCAGATCTGGCGTGCCCCAGGTGACACTCCAGCAGCAGGAGGGACTGGAAGCACACAACCGGGCCTACCTTGTTTCTCCCTGGGCTGCGTGCTGCTTGTGCGTTGATGTCCTGCGACACAGGCTTTAGGGTGGCGACGCCCTTAGAAGGCTCAGGCTCCTCGACATTCCCGAGTCCCTTCATGGCTGCCCGGTACGACGTGTTCCTCAGATTGCGCTTGAGGCTCCCGCTAGAATCCATCTCGATGTCCAGGTCATCCAGGGAAATGCTGGGGGCGGACATCCGCTTGAGGTCGCAGCGAGCTGCCTCTTTACTCGGCATGGGCACGGCGAAGCTCTGGTGGCGGGCAGGGGTCTTGGATTTGGTAGACACGGCCAAGCTTTTGGGGATCAGCTGCTGGGTGCCCACCTTGAGCGCGGCCGGGCTCTCTGTGCTGAGGATGACCCGGTGGGGCTCGGTGGGGGACGGGGAGCGCTGGGCGTTGTCTAGTGCTGCCATGGAGCTGCGTTTCCCAGAGGGAAAGGGCACATCGGCATCTATCCGCAGCTCTGAATGGAACTTGCGCTCTAGGAGAAGGGCCTTGTCACCCATGGAGCCGTCAGAGTGCCGGTGAGACATGCTGGCGCTGTGGGGAGCCAGGGACCCTGCAGAGAAAACAGAAAGGGCACAAGGCTTAAGGAGCTTGCCCCTCTTCCAGGAACAGGGGTCAATGAAAGAGATCCAGGACCAGCACAGAGGGGTTTAGGACTGGATGGGGTTTGGTTGGTTGGTTGGTTTTTTAAAGAGTCAAACAAACATTTTCTCCCCCTTCTCCCCCCAGCATTTGCAGCATTTCATGTTTGCGCAGGAGAGTCTGGAAAATGAAATCTACTCTGCATTGACAGCAAACAAGAGCATGAGCTAGCCTAGGACTTTTGTGATGGGAGAAAAAGAAAACAAAACACCCAGCAAATAAATCAATACACAGAACAGCTGACTTGGGGAAAAAAAAAACCAAAGAAGTCACATGATCTCATTTATTATATTTCAATAACACCTCGAAGCGCCGACTGAGATTGTGACCCTGTCGTGCCTTGCACACACATGCAGTGAGAGACTGTCCCTGCCCCAGACTACGAAAGAAATAAGACAAAAAGTGGGAGGGGAAAACAGACCCAGACAGGTGACATGACTTGACCTGCAGGTGGCCGGGAACAGAACCCGGTCTCCCACACCAGAGCTGTATGTTGTGAACATCAAGGGAATCTGGAAGCAACAGCTAAGCTAGAGAAGTTTAACAAAGGAAAAAAAAGAAACCGAAGTGAAAGTACCACGGCCTTGCCCAGCACATAAGCAATCAGCCCACCAAGAATAAATGACTCAAAAATGAACACCGAGAGCTGTCTACTTTACCCGAGTGCCATCAGACAGGCCCACGCTAACTGACTGAGGCTGAGTTCTACGAGAAGAAACAGAGCCTCTTGCAAACAGCCAGCTGGCAGCATCATGGGCCCAAGTGAAACCCAGGCTTATGGAGCTGAGGGGCCTGCAGGACTCATGCAGGGAAGAATGTGAATCCCCACCATGGACCCAAGAAGCCCACAGCCGCTCTGGGGAGTCTTTCAAAAACAAAGACCATAAAGGAGCTGTTTGTTCTCCCATCAAAACATTCTCTGTGAAAAACCAGAGACAAGAATCTCCAGCCCCTCCTTCCCCCCATGTTAGATCCCATCCATTATCCCCAGTGAGCTTCCGAATACATACGGGCAGTTATTGTCCAGCCCATCGTTACTTCTCCTGCATCTTCCCTCCTTAAACACTCAACAGGAGGCAAGTTCCTGCCCCCAAACAGCCCCAGGAGACGGGACAAGGAGGGACTGCACTGCACACCAACCTTTACGCCTAGGTTCTATCCAGCAGTCCCCCACCTTTTAATACTGCATCGTTCAAAGGAAAGGAAAGTCTCGGAGGAAGGGACCCTGGTTCCCACCCAGATGGGACAGCAACCAGAAATTCCAGGGCTTGAATTTTGTACTAGGTCTCCACTTATATGATGTAGCCACAGATAAAAAGTATCAGGTATATTTAAGACACAGAGGTGAAATATAAGTATTAATTAATGTTGTAACACAGGGCCCCAGGCCCATAAAATAGCATATGCTAATTTATCCTAAGGCCTAATTTGGCTAAGTAAATTAGTAATAAACCTACTGAACTTGTATCTGTTTGTGATATGCTGATGTTCTGCAAATAACTGCTGACCTTGGATAATAACGTCTACGAGAGAGCAGCAGCCACCACAAGATGCCCATTGGTAACTGGGGTGAAATGTTATGGTGACAAGGTGACGTAAACTTTAACGAGTACAAGGGAAACGAGCTGGCCTATGAAAACAGGGCACCCCAACAGGAGTGGCGTGCGGAAGTTCAAATAAGGAGGGGTTAAAACCTTCATAAATATGTCTGAACCCCAGCGGCATCAGTGTAACACATTATAAAAGCCGTATCCTGGCCTGCGTGTGTTAGTCGGGGGGAGGGCGGAGAGGGGGGAGACACCAGGATGACAACCACTAGTGAGGAGGAGGATGAAGACTGGCTCTTAGGGTTTTTCCACAAGGCCTGGTGTGAGTAACGCCAATATTCTGTATTGGTCTCCCCCTTAGCAGGTTGCAGTGTATGTACTGTTTGGTTGGCTAATGAAAGCAATTATTATCGAAAGAGCACTATGTGGTCTCTGCTGTGCACCGTGGGATCCCCCTTCTATTGATAACCTCCCTATGGTGGGGGGGTCTTGGGAGCTGAACTCTCACAGATTAAAGTAGGTGCAAACCCTCACCTCGGGGTGGGTAACTACAGATAAAGCTACACGTGGGCACAAGGTAACAGCACCTGCAATTCTTTCATGACCCCCCCCCACCCTCAATCCAATCAGCTAATTCATAGAGGGTGCAAAACTGCAGACACATTCACAAGAAGCGATTGGGTTTGAAAGACAACACAAACGAAGGTGCCACTGATCAGCTGGTAGGTCCAGAGATAAAGTCAGTCTACTGCCCACAGGGAGGGCAGATAAGAAATATACCGTATACTGTTCCTTTAAAAAATTATCTTTCTATGTGTTTATACAACGCCTAGCGTGACCCTCCAGGGCACTACTGCAATACAAACACACCACAAATCCGGCCAGCACTGGGGAGTTCCTCCCATCCTTAGGACGAGTTAAGGAGAGAAATGCACACACAGACCACACCCTGGCTAGAGGGAAAAGAAAGATTTGGCAACCGTGCCTGGGTTTCAAAGCTCTGCCACTTCCTTTGCTTGGCTCTAGGGCTGATGTCACCAGAGCAAGTTCCAGTTCTTTGCTCCAAGCTGGGAGCAGGAAGAAGATTAGGGTGCAAACACCACCCGCTGCACTTGTCCTTTACTTACTGCTCTCTATTCTACTTCCTGCACACTTGTAGGGTGACCAGACAGCAAGTGTGAAAAATCAGGACGGGGGGGGGGAGGGGAGGGGAGTAAATAGGAGCCTATATAAGAAAAAGCCCCAAATATCAGGACTGTCCCTATAAAATCGGGACATCTGGTCACCCTACACACTTGCCCTCTGCTGCCACCCTGGGCTCTCTCTAGAAGATTCCACACCTTGATACAACAGCTGCACTACAGAGGATGCACCTCAGCTCCCCCAAAGGTTCCAAATGTCTCTAGAGCCGTTTGGAAAGCCAGGCATGTGCCCAGTGCACAGCAGAGAGCATACTTGAGGGTGCAAAGTCCTTACTGACAAGTTTGGGGTGACCCCATTTGCAAGCGGCGGCCACCTCAAAGACCCCACTCTGCATATTGCTTTTCTGGGAGATAAATGCTAACGTGACGTGCCACACAATTAATGCACTTACACTCATGCCCCTTTTCTCCCCATTACATGATTTCACAAAAAGCATGCTCCCAGTTGCCCATACTGAGGTCCCATTGTACCGAGCTCTTGCTGAACCATTCCCCATCAACCACCATCGAACAGGAAACACAGATCAAGACTTGAAACATGTTCTTCTTTACAATAACTGGCAGAAAGACAAGTCAGCCTGGTCTACAAAGGCCTGTTTGATTGAGATGCTGCTCATTTTCATCTGGTTGGACAAGGGATACATGCCCCGTGCCGGCCAGTGTCCTGCCAAGCATCCTGTCGGAGGGAGGAGGGTAAAACCGCCATGCTCCATCCATTGACACAGGCGGTGCTGTAGAGAAGGGCCCTGTTTAGCAGCAGTGGAAATAAGGCAGCTAACAGAGAAAGCAAAATAGGAACTCTAGCTACTTGCCAAGCTACAGCCATTGCAGCTCTCTCGAGGTGCTCTGGGAAAGAGAGGTGGGTTCTGCTGTTCTGAGCACAGACCTCGGAACCAAGAGCTCCTGAACTGTAATCCCAAATCTGACACTGAGTCACTGTGTGGCCTCTGGCAAGTCATTTAATCTCTCAGGGGAAACAGGGACATTTGCAAACAGCAGCACTAAATAGTAAGAAATACTAAGTCCACGCCATGAGGCCACCTTGTTTGAGGGATGGGGGAGAGGAAGTTGGCTCTGACCCAATACCGGGACAAGAGTCAGCTGCAATATTCAGATTCAAAGCGGCTTCTGAACCTCTGCAAGTCTGGAGGCGTTGGGACCCAGCATCTTGGTTTAGCTTTTGTGGGTGACAGATTACCCCACATCTGCTTACAGCAGGGTTCTTACATCTTCCTCTGAAACATCTGGTCAGGCCACTGCCAGAGACAGGCTACTGGGCTACCTGATCTCCTCTGGCCATCCCCATGTTCATCACCTCCAGTATTACCAGTTATCCCCACAATTTATTCTCATGACTCAGAAGCAAGTTCCACGATCTGCTCCTACTGAGGAAGACAAAGACAAAGCCCAGCAGACCATAGTGAGCCTTCCCTGAGCGGAGCGAGCATGGATTTGGAAGGGATCTAGAGGGGGTTCACTCCCCATAGTGCACCGTACAACTTCACACCAGCTTCCAACACCAGCTCCTAGACCGGGTGCTTCGGCGTGTGCTTTATAGAACAGTCCCGTAACCCCTCTCTCCCCTGCTCTGAAATCTACAAGGAAGTGACAGGGCCCTGTTCGGTATGTTCTCAGCCTGCAGACGCTTACGTACGTGCCTTATTCACGTGAGCTGTCCCTTTGAAGTCAGCGGGACACCTCGTGTGCGTGAAGTTAAGCACGTGCCTACGTGTTTGCAGGATCACTGCACAGGGATGCATTCAGGAGCACCTTAGCTCGAGTCCGATTACACTGACCCACCAGCTACTTACCAGCTACCACGTACCAGACCCATTAGGTAGGCCCTTTTCTTACCCAGTCACTAGCACTGAAGAAGTGAGCCAGGCTCTCCAGCCTCATTCAGGGCAAGGAGAAGAAGTCTTCCCACTGGGACCCAAGTAGAAGGCTCTTCCCAACCTTGCAGGGCTGCGCTACGGGCTTCCCCTCTCCCCCCTGGAGCACTCGTCCTGAAAACAGCTGTGCGCGCTGTGCACAGATATTACACGGGCTCAGGGAGGCTGGACAGTCAGGATGGAGGGAGAAACTAGATCTAGCTTCTTCTGAGACCAGCTGAGCTGGTCAGGAAAGAACAGGAAACGTGGCTCCAGAGCGGTGGATCTTAATGCCATTTCTACCTGACATTCCCTTCTGTGGAAAAGGCAATAAAGAGGGAAAGACTCCAACATGCCGACACCAGTGAGGGATCAGGTGCTTTCAGTCTGGGCAGCGGCTAGTTCTGAAGTCGCTCAGCTCTGCCCTCTGTCAGAGGGGACCAGGGGTGAGTCTGTCTCAAAGATGCTAATCCCAACATACCCCATTCAGCTTCTCACTCAGTTACCTCCACTACATGTGACGCCCCCAGAACTACTCACCCAGCACCTCTAACTGGATTTGGACACATATGAAAGGCCAATTTCATGGGTTAGTCTCATTTTATGTTTGCATATGCACAGGGTGGGGGCAGAAGGTGACTCAGAAACAACCCCCCCGCTCCACACCCTACCAAAACACAAGGTACAGAACTAGGATCAAGCTCCCGGGGAAAGCTGGTCTTGTTTTGTTTTTTAAACTTGACTATGTCACGGAAAAGCAATAACCGCTCTGCAGCAACTATACGCCACAAAGAGAAGGATCAGACACTGACAGGGGAAGGAATGTTTGCTGCTGGCAGCTATACTATGCTGTTCTTTATGCTTTGGGGCATAAGCTGGTTGCTAGCAGGGATCAGGAAGGAATTTCTTTTTCATCCGCCCCCAAATCTCCCCTGTATAGCATTAGGTGCTTTTCTTTCTCTTCTGCAGGGTCTCGCAGTTGGAAGTGATGGGACACCAGACTAGATGAGCTAGTCTGTATCCGTGTGGCAATTCCTGGGTTCCAGACAGATGAAATTCACTAACAACTCTTGGCACAAACAACGAGGAGTCCTTGTGGCACCTTAGAGACTAAAATTTATTTGGGCATAAGCTTTCGTGGGCTAAAACCCACTTCATCAGATGCATGGAGTGGAAAATACAGTAGGCAGGTATAAATACACAGCACATGAGTGTG